GCCATTTCTTCTCAGTGAAGGGTACCATTTGACAATGTGAAATAATCCTCTTGGCCCCTTCAAAGCTTTCCTCTTCCAATCCTATCTTGTCTGTTATCACTATTAGACCTGCTGTCTTTCAGTTAAAAATTTCCTGGCATATTTTTTTTGTCCCTGCCTTATTGAGATATAATTGATGTCTCTTTTGCCATCCCTGTATTGTCACACTTTTTTATCCTTTTGTATCGTACTAGTTGAGAGCACAAACTCAAGCCAGACTACTCAGGTTTAGATCCCAGTGCTGTCTGTGTAGCACCGGGCAAGTTACTTATTACACTTTAGGTGCCTAATCATTAGAATACGGATAATAATAGTAATTTGCCCCTTAGTGTGGCTGGGAGGATCACAGACCCAGTAGAGATGAGGCCCATGGGAGAGCAGCTGGGAAAGAGTAGATGTCCAACAGCACTGGCTGTTATGACCATTTTGTGTGTGGGAGGGTGTATTTTTGAAATGCTCCCGTTGTCTGTTTTCCCAGGTGGTACTGCTCAGACCTGGGCAGGCCTTCAGACCCTTGCCTTGGCCCTGTGCTTTACAGGGCTCCACTCTGGCCTTCCACAGACGTCGGACCCAGGGGCCAAGTGGGCATGCTCACTAGAGCCCACGTCGTCCCTTTCAGCCCGTTCCATTTGCACAGGACCCTGGAATTCCTTACCCATTGGCCCTGAGCTCTCTCTTCCTGGGCCTGTGGAAACCTCTTGCTTGGGTCACTTCTGAGAGCAAATACATAGTAGGTGCAAGTCCCCCTAAGGTGGACGTGTGACCAGGGGGCAGATGTGTTTGCAGGTTTAGACACAGCTGGCTACCCACACAACGCACAAAGCCTTGTGCATGTTGAGGCCTGAGGTGGTAAGAGAAAGGGTGCAGGGCAAGGGCCAATTCTCCTTGTGTTACTATGTTCTGCATGAATTCTGTGGCACCTGAGAATTCCTCAGAGTCTGGGCTTCCAAGTATTACGAAGGTACTATTCACCAAGGAAGGGGGTTAATGAATGTATTTTGTTCAAAAGCTTATTATCTTGACATACAACTTTCAAAGACTGAGACTTACTGCAGCTAGCCCACATTTGCATTCCTGCCCCAGGGCTGGCACATCAGTAGTGTGTTGTGGCCTCTGCCTACTGGGGCCCATGTCCTACAGGATCCGTATCTGCCTGCTATCCAACACACCAAACAAAATAGTCCTTCCCGTGCACGAGATTCTTCCGCGGGGAGGCACTAAAGGGAGCATCAAGGATGCAATGGAAGAGGGGTGGGGACAGAAGCTAATGGCTCTCAAGCACTAGAGGTGGTGTGGGCAGTGCCTAGGCGGCAGGACCTAGAGCCAGACTGCAGAGCTTTGAATCTAGCTGTGTGGCCTCAGGCCAGTTTGCTGACCTCTCCTGAGCTCCATAAAAAGTGGGGTGTGATGATAACGGTGCCTACTTTATGGAATGGCGGTGAGAATGAAAGGCAATGATGGAAATGCCGGGAACATTCAGAATCCAATAAATGGTCATTGTTAACAATCTGTTATTATTATTATTCAGCTGCTAGGTGCTATCACAGAAATGAAAAAAAAAAGGGGAACAATGGCTGAAATGGCAAGAGCATATAAAGGGATCAATAGGGAAGTCTAGTAGCAGGAATAAAATTCATTCTCTCCCCTTGGGTGGAGGGGGAGGGCTCCAAGAGAGCTGGTAGAGGGTTTCTAAGAGGCAGCTGAGGAGTGAGCAGTTGGGTTGAACCCAGGAGGAGGAGGAAACGGCCAGGGAGCAATCTGGAGAAAAGAGCATTCCAGGCAGAGGGAACGGCAAGGACAGAGCTCCTGATCCAGGGCTGTGTGCAACCCCGAAGTGACCGGTCGGTGAATTTTGAGGTGTGTACTAAAGTGGAAAGATGAAGGTAGTTCATGAGTTGGTAGAAAAGAGATGAAACTGGGGGGTGGAGGAAAACCACAGGGGCTCACCTCCTCACGTACGTTATCTTTGCCAGCTGCAGTTCCTTTTCCTCCACTTCTGAATGCTTATCATGAAAGTTCTGGCCCGAGAAGTCTATTGTAACAGATCTGGTAAAGACTGTATCTCAGGTGTTTGCAATCCCCAAGCTAGCTGACTTACAAACAGGAGCCCTGGAACATAAACTCCTCAGAGTCCAGGGCTGTGTTCCACTGGGTGCCATACTTGGTTTCCCCGCCACCTCCCCACAGTAAGTGGGGCCCGACAGTCAGTGCGGTCCTTGTGTTAGAATGTGCCCTGAAGACAGGGCCTGGGTCGAGTTCCAGCTCTGGCCCTTCTCAACTATGTGATCCAGGTAGTTTCAGTTTCCTCTTCTAAAAAATGGGGTCTAATACTACTGTTTACTTCACACAGTCATTGTGAGGTTTAAAAGACTTCTGTATGCAAAACGTAGTAAGGTAGTGGGTGCAGTAAACCGCCAGTAGTTTTTTAAAGCGACATTAATAGCCTGTTTATTGCTAATGTCCCCAAAGGGCAGAATGTTAACACAAATCCTTCTTGCCAGAGTTCTCCCAGCCTCTGTGATCTTCCACTGGCTTCTCCTACAGAATGGTGCTTGATTCTGGCCTGCTACTCAGAAACCCATCACAGGCTGGAAAGGAAAATCAGTATGCCATTATTTAAGCTCAAATTCACTCAAGCTAAGAAGTTTACTAGAACACATGGGTATTTCTTGATCACAAATCAAGATAAATTCTTTAAGCAAATCTGAGTTAGGTTAACGAAAAGGACGCTATAGAAACTTTATGCAAGGATTGGGAGTCTCTGGGAAAAATGAAAAATGACTATTACATATAATTATCGTCAAAGGCTCAATCTTTAGTTGAGCATCTGAAAGGTTGGTTTCTGTCTGGAAATAGGCTTTTAAAAAAATGCTAAAATTATTTTTGCCAGAATGCTTGTCCTCATTCCTCCCTTTTTTGCTGGGAAATGTAGTTGCATTTACTAAGCTAGACACTCCTAAGATGTGACACAAATAACTAACCCAAGGACAATTAAGCAGATTTCTTAAATTGGACAACAGACATGTTACACAGGTTCGCAAAAATTCTGGGGAACCACTCTGGTCCTCTGAAAAAAAAATTTTTTTTTTTTTTAGTGCTTTTGCCTAAGATGTTTTTCAGTCTGTTGGCAGGGCACAAATGTTGCATAGGGCTGAAATTACCTTTGAATCATGAACTTTCAATAGGTGGAGCTTGGCCCTTCCTCAACCAGTGATCTCAGCATGTTCTCCCTCATAAAATGGGTAAGCAGAAGTGGTTTTTTTACATGAAGGCCAAAGAAAGCTCCAAGTATCTGCTACACATGGATTTTTAGGTCCTGTAACTCCACGCTGAAGGCTCAGAGGAAGGAGTCAATTTAATTCAGGGTTTTTCAACTTTAGCAGTGCTGACATCAGAGCTAGGTAATTCTTTGTAGAGGGGGGCTGTCTAGCAGCATCCCTGCCTTCTAAACTCACTAGACACCACTAGCACTGGCTGTGACAACCCAAAATGTCTCCAGACATTGCTACGTGTCCCAAGCATCTCCTAGGGACAGAACTGAAAACCACTGTCTGGCAGCAGGTTGGAAACCACTGCTTTAACTAAAACCCAGGCATTATTTGCTATGAAAAGACTCTTTAGAAACCTTTTCCAAATGAAAATTCTATAGTTTTGTGCTCCACTGGAAGCACCTGAAATGTAGGACCACAGAGAGAAGTTTTGTTGCAGTAAATTAATAACGATGATGTATTATTAGTCAACTTCAGCAGTGGAATATTTTAAGTACAATGATTTGTAACTTTAGAGTATTTCAGAAAGAATGATTCTGAATTCAGAGGTAGTAAAGCCAAGCCTAGAGTTTACTGTTTTCATATACTGGTACCTTGTATGAATCTTACAGTTGTCCCCAATGCCCACCCCCAGCTTGCTACTTGGTGAGTTTTCCTCTCTAATCTTGCCCTCAACACCAGCAAGAGGGAAAAAAGGGTTAAGAGGGGAACCTTAAAAAATAAAACCCACAATTAATATTCTCCCATTAATAATTATATTCATTAACTACTGAGGCTAAATTTTACCACCAATTGAGAACTATAAGCTTTTAGCTGCCATAAGAATAAACTAACTCCAAACTTGATGTATTTTTAACTACTACATTGAAAACAGCTTTACTTCACACCAGTCAGAATGGTTAGTATCAAAAAGGCAAAAAATCGCAAGTGGGGAAAAGGGAACCCTCCTCCTGCACTGTTGGTTGGACTGTAAACTGGTGCAACCACTACAGAGAATAGTATGAAAGTTACTAAAATTTTTTAAGAAGTACCACATGATGCAGTTCCACTTCTGGTTATTTATTTGAAGAAAATGAAAACATGAACTTGAAAAAGATGTATCTATTCCTATGTTTATCACAGCATTATTTACAGCCAAGATATGGGGGCAACCCAAGTGTCCATCAGCGGAGGAACAGATAAGGATGTGGTATGTCTACTTTGGAATATTACTCAGCCACAGGAAAAATGAAGCCTTGCCATTTGTGACAACATGGATGGACGTAAAGGGTATTATGCTAAGTGAAATAAGTCTGACAGAGAAAGACAAATAAGTACCATATGATTTCACTTACATGTAGAATCTTAAAAACAAAACAAACATGCCCCCCGAAAAAGACTCATCAATACAGAGAAGAAAATGGTAGTTGTCAGAGAGGAGGTGAGTTGGTGAATGGGTGAAATGGGTGAAGGGGATTAAGAGGTACAAACATCCAGTTATAAAAAGTCACAGGGATGAAAATTACAGCATAGGGAATATAGTTAATAATACTGTAATAACTTTGTATAAATGGTAACCACACTTAATTGAGCATTTCATAATGTATATAAATGCTGAATCATTATGTTGTATACTTAAACTAATACAATATTGTATGTCAATTATACTTCAATTTTAAGAAACTGAGAAGGAAACAAAACAAAAACTGCAGCTTTACATTTTAAAACTTTATTGATTTACCACCTGATTAAAGCACGGGATATTTTAACAGTATTATACATAGTATTTTTACATAGAAAACTTTACATAGCATTTCATATTATATAATTCTGCTTTTCTTCCAAAAATGTATACATCCATTGGGCAAGGAATGCTTTTCATTAAATTACCAATATTAAATGCACTTAATCATCAGATTAAACAAATGTAGCTATTAATTATCTTTTAGGCAGGTAAGAGGAGGTAAAACATATTTTGCACATAAAGAAATACTGATGCAAATATGCACATAAATTTTTTTAAAAATTAGAACACTGAGAAAAACCACACCTTTGATGAGTGTCTTTTTTTGAGAGTAAGGATTTCCAGATATATTCATTCTTGTAAATATTCAGCTTTGGTTTCTTTGTTTCCCAAATGACAAAGCTGCTGGTAGCAAAACTCCAACATTTCATGTGAATTCAAGCTACATCTAACTTAATACAAATATTAAAACAGAACTGAAAAAATGCAGTATTAAGGATCCAGCTTCTGTTTAAACCAGTATCTGTTTGCATCCTAACAACAAACATTTGAATGAGATGGTCGTACTTGGATTTGTCAGTAGGTTCCTTTAATAACTATAAAGACTGCAAAATGTATAGCCATAATCACAAAAAAACCCATGAAAGTTTAGGGTTTTTTTTTCTTCATTTTGTACAAAAGTCACCTGTTGGGGAAAATGTTGTTTCCAGATGTTAAACAATTTCCATAATGTATGTTCTTTGGTTGTACTCGAGGAGTAACAGGGAAAAGGTGTATTTGACTGTAAAGATGCATACTAGAAATAAAATTTCCCATCCCCTGTTTGTTGTTAAGATGCCAAAGCTGGTGATTTCCCTAGACAATGAAGAAAAACAAAATCGCTCACAGCAGCAGTATAGTAACAAATAAAACTTCTCTATGGAGACCTAGCACATATAATCAACACTTAAAGCATTCTGAGAAAGAAATAAGGCTTTGGAAATGCTTCCCTCTTCTCCATGACTCTGTTAGTAAATAGTGTCCTGGCCTGGTGCTGCAGCCACACACACCCTTTTCACTAGTGTTTGGTGGCATAAGCCGTGTTACCATGAGATAGATTTATTCACAAAATAGGATTTAGGCTGAATGGCTTATTATTGGAGGTAAGGGATTTCCTCTGTATGTCATGGTTCACCAACATGAAAAATTATCCTAAATGGTTTTACATCCAGTTTTTAAAAGGTCCATGCTGATACAATTCAACAACCTTATTCAAAAAACCATATCTTTTAAAAGACAAAATTAAAATTCAAACCTGAATTTTCAGCAAGTAACAAAATGTGCTTACACATTTCCTACTCTGTTAAGGGAGGCGAAAAATGAAAAAGGCAGGAATAACACTGGAAAAGTCTTGCAGTCACATTCAATGAAGAAAATGTCACGTGAGAAAAAACCCCCAATCAGGGTCTTGGGTTGTACAGAAAATGTTAAGTATTAATGAACACACATGCTCCCCATTTAAACCTTTAGTACAAGTGTCAGTGTAGATGACTGACTAGTGGAGGCTGTGGTGAACTACAGTACCAGGCAGTAAGTCCGAATGCAGCTTCCACGTTGCAGTGTGAAGACGTAAGGGATTTCATGGTGCTAACAGTTTGCCTTCATAGTAAAGTACTCTCCCACAGCCCCCTCCTGCTCAATGATATAGCTCCTCTTCTCTAATGGATGTAAATAACATAAAAACCTAAACCTGTTCTTTTTTTCTTTGGTAGAGAAATTAAAACACTTTTGGGGAAAGAAAACAGTAGACAGAGTGCTACTGACCAAAACCAGCATTTCTCAAGGCTGTTAAAAACACAACAATTTAAGAAATCGATCTCTTAGTAAACAAAAGCACCAGAATCCTTCTCTATAAAGAAAAAACTTCTGATTTTATAGATAGGTTCCCAACTTACTAACTGCTAAGGCACCGGAGTTGACATCAATACGACCCAATTTACAGGACTAAAGGGAATAGGTAGAAGTCTGAATGCGTGAGTGGCTCTGTAACACCCTCTCTAATGCTGGATGCCGCTCTAGGTGGGCAGTAGATGAGAGGGCAGAGGATGAAGTATATGTTCACTTTCTCACTGACTCAGAAATATTAAGCTTCCAAATATACTGCTTGCAGGCTTTGGGCTGTATTTGTGTACTGCCCACTTCTACATAAGCTGCATCAGGATTGCACCGTCATTAATATAATAAGGACCCCAGAATCTAACCTTTCCAAAGAATTCAACACTGAGGCTCGAATTAACAGAAGTGCTGGGCACAAGACACCTCCTGCCATGGTCTCAGTTTAGCTGTGCTGGCCTCACAAAAGCACAGGTTCAACTTCTGTGGCCAAGGAGGTCCACGGAGCGACCTTTCTCAGTCACTATCCCTCTCTCTCGAGGGCTCTTTAATGGGGACTGTGCAAAGTGGGGTACTGATAATTGGTACGTACTATTCTGAGGTAAAAATAAAGGTTTACTCAAATATAAATTACCTTTGTTAAATAACTTCATTTTTGTTACTACTTCATATATTAGATTTCAGAGTATGTGAGGGAAATTTTAATTTAATACACATCCACAAATACTTACTTGAAGGAAGGCTAGTCATCTTCCAATAAGTTTTTAATTTTCTTATGGACTTTTTCTCCCCAAGTTACTGTAACAGGGAGAGCCAGGAGGAAATACATGTTTTTAACTTGCAAGCGCATACTTCTAACTTAATTACTAAACTCAGTCTTCAATCAAATCTTCAGTAATTTCTTTTTGAAAAATACTTTAAAAATCACCCAGACATTAACAAAACAGGAAAAAAACCAAACAAACACAACCCTTTGTTTCCTTTTCTCCAAACTAATCTAGCTGACTCACAATTGACAAAAACACTCAAACTCCTCCAACACAAACAACAAAAAACCCCAGCATATTTAAGGTGGCACTTAGCCGTTACAAGAAATTTTATTAACATACTCTCTAATGATCACAAACCTATACAGCTATGTTCAGTATTTTCAAGTAGAGTGACTTCCTCTGACAAAACATTTACAGCCAGTCATGGGACTTTGCTAGAAAATGACAGCATGTGCAATGACAGATTTGACAAGTTCAATCAGTAAAATGGAATGACAGAGATGAAACAGACTCCCCACTTACTGTGTTCACTGGGTATGCAACCGTTTAATGAAATACCACGACACCTTAGTCAGGACCCTGATGGGACCAGCACAGAGACCATCTTTATCCAGGCCATTCTCCAGGCCATTCTGAGCTCCCAGATGCCAACTCCTTGTTCCTATGATCTGACCCTTCATGAGATGTGCCAGGCAGAGGAGGTGGCATGGTGAACACTGCAGAGCTGCAGCAGCGGCCCTCGGGGCTCCGGGCTACCACACTGGGGAAAACGTCCCTGATACCGGGGGTGGCGCTTCTGGAATCCATATCTTATACACAACACCTATCCGTAGGAAGAACTTCCGCAGAACAGCTCGGAGCTCAGGAATCAGGTCAAACTGCATAATTTCACACAAGTAGGGGTAGTACATTGAAGCATGTGCTTTAAACTTGAGATGGGAGAGAAGCAGAGAGGGAAATGAGACATGGGACTTATTTTTTGGGACTAGTTTTTCAGAAGTATTCATCTCACCCTGGAATTGCTTGCAATATCAGTGTTTTTTCTTGCTATTAGAAAGATGGTACAACAAGTTTGCAAATTAGATCTTCTTGTAATCATATTTAACTCTACACAGCAATTATTTGGGCACAGCCTTGCTATCAAAATCAACTTTTATTTTAAGTAAAGGAATTCTCAGTTTTAAACCAGTGCTTAATAATCTCAGCCTTTGCCTTCCAACATGACCACTGAAAGGCAACTCAGCTGTTTAGAAGTGACATGCCTGGTTTTAACTTTAGCCTTTCTCAACTGGGGTTCTTAGAGAAAGAGCCTAATATCCTAAGGCATCACTGTGTGTGATGATAAACTCTCCTATGCATCGAGACTGGTGCTAGTTATGTAACCACCCTCGGAAGAACTGAGAAAATAGTTATTTAAACTCTGAGTAAAAAGCCAACTCAAGCCTATGTCCTACTGGAGACATAGCGTTTACTAGTTCATACCTTTTCATCGTTTATTTTGAGGGTTTTTGTTAGAAGTAACAATAGGAGACTAGTCCAGGCCTCCCGATGGCTTTCAGAATTCACGGTGATGAAATAGGCCAGGGCCTCACTGCACACACTGGAAGAACCAGAGGGGAGAAGCACATCAAACAAAAGATCGACACCTCACACATTCTCCTGGAGCAGAGAGCTCTTTCTTCTTGCGATCAGCATTTGCTGAGCAGCTGCTGGCAGTGCCACCCTGAGCAAATCTCTGAGCCTGTTTCCTCAGCTGTAAAATGGGGAAAAATGTACCAAACTCAAGGGATTTGTGTGAAGATTAAGTAAGTATGTTAAATGTTATCTGGGCTCCATCAGTGTCTGCAGCAGGCCAAGCTCAGAGCTTACCATCTATAGTTAACTACACCCTGTCTTTCTCTTCTCACATCACACTCGACTGTCTTTTTTTTAACACGCTGAAGACTTAACATTTATGTATCTCCTTTAGAGAAACTTTGAGACTATGTAGATAATTTTTTTTAGGCTTGCTTCAAATTGAAATAAGCTACTGGTGTTCCCTTTCATTAATTTACTTTTTTTCCCTAGATTATGGCTTTTCGTATCTTGTTACTACAAAATGACTTGAAGAGTACAGAAAAATGATAAAGTAGAGAAAAATACCCATAATTCCAGCATTTAACAAATATATGACAATATTTTGGCATATTTCCTTCCAGTTTTTTTTCCTTTGGTTGTTAAAAAACATTGCTGAAAATTAGAAGTGACATGCCTGGTTTTAACTTTAGCCTTTCTCAACTGGGGTTCTTAGAGAAAGAGCCTAATATCCTAAGGCATCACTGTGTGTGATGATAAACTCTCCTATGCATCGAGACTGGTGCTAGTTATGTAACCACCCTCGGAAGAACTGAGAAAATAGTTATTTAAACTCTGAGTAAAAAGCCAACTCAAGCCTATGTCCTACTGGAGACATAGCGTTTACTAGTTCATACCTTTTCATCGTTTATTTTGAGGGTTTTTGTTAGAAGTAACAATAGGAGACTAGTCCAGGCCTCCCGATGGCTTTCAGAATTCACGGTGATGAAATAGGCCAGGGCCTCACTGCACACACTGGAAGAACCAGAGGGGAGAAGCACATCAAACAAAAGATCGACACCTCACACATTCTCCTGGAGCAGAGAGCTCTTTCTTCTTGCGATCAGCATTTGCTGAGCAGCTGCTGGCAGTGCCACCCTGAGCAAATCTCTGAGCCTGTTTCCTCAGCTGTAAAATGGGGAAAAATGTACCAAACTCAAGGGATTTGTGTGAAGATTAAGTAAGTATGTTAAATGTTATCTGGGCTCCATCAGTGTCTGCAGCAGGCCAAGCTCAGAGCTTACCATCTATAGTTAACTACACCCTGTCTTTCTCTTCTCACATCACACTCGACTGTCTTTTTTTTAACACGCTGAAGACTTAACATTTATGTATCTCCTTTAGAGAAACTTTGAGACTATGTAGATAATTTTTTTTAGGCTTGCTTCAAATTGAAATAAGCTACTGGTGTTCCCTTTCATTAATTTACTTTTTTTCCCTAGATTATGGCTTTTCGTATCTTGTTACTACAAAATGACTTGAAGAGTACAGAAAAATGATAAAGTAGAGAAAAATACCCATAATTCCAGCATTTAACAAATATATGACAATATTTTGGCATATTTCCTTCCAGTTTTTTTTCCTTTGGTTGTTAAAAAACATTGCTGAAAATCACAAGTATATGGCTTTTACATCGGCTTTTTTGTGGTGAAACTGGCATTATGAGCATATTCCCACATCAAGGAAAATTACTGTTTTTTTAAAACTTCATTTTTAATGGCTGTATTATATTCTATCATGGGATATACTATAATTTAGTTATCCATTCTATGGTTGAGCTATTTTAAATTTCTTCTCTTATTATGTCAATCCGCAATAAATATTCTATATAGGAATCCTGATTCCTATTTCTAAGACATTTTTTAAAGTAGATTTCCTAACAGTGGAATTACTGAGTTAAAGAAAGAGACTGACCATTTTAAGGCTTCTGATATATAATGACACCCAGTTTCCAGAAAGATCCTGTCACTGTACACTCCCACTGGCAGTGCAGGAGAGTGCATGTCTTATTACATGGTTGCCAGCACTGCATGTTAATGTTTTTATATCTTAAAGGAGTAAAAGGAGGCTTAGCCATAGCATCTTGCTCACAGCTGCCCAAGAAGCTGGTGGCAAAGATATACTTTTCTGCCTGGGGCTCTTTCAATGGCATCCCACTATCTCTCCATGGCTACATGGCTAATTAAAGTTAGTACATCCTAGAATCCATATGATTCTAATACATTTCTCTTGGAAAGAAGGAATGATGGGATGTTAGAACTGACATAGCCCTAAAGAGGACCTATGGGCTTCACTCCAGGCCTGCTGACTCTGAGCTCAGAGCACTTCACTGGGTGCTCAGGTTTCTGGGCCCTAAGAGACTTATGAATGAGAGAATTGAGGCCCCATCCTCTTCAGGGCATTAAGAAAAGTGAAACAGAAGAGGCCACAAATGGAAGAAAAAAGGAAAAAAAAAAAAGGACGGAAACAAAAGCAAAAATAAACTCATGGGACTACATCAAACTAAAAGGTTTCTGTACGGCAAAGGACATCATCAACAGAACAAAAAGGCATCCTACAGTATGGGAGAATATCTTTGTAAGTGACATATCCAACAAGGGGTTAACATCCAAAATATATAAAGAACTTACACGCCTCAACACCCAAAAAGCAAATAACCCAATTAACAAATGGGCAGAGGATATGAAAAGACAGTTCTCCAAAGAAGAAATTCAGATGGCCAACAGACACATGAAAAGATGCTCCACATCACTAATCATCAGGGAAATGCAAATTAAAACCACAGTGAGGTATCACCTCACACCAGTAAGGATGGCCAGCATCAAAAAAACTAAGAACAACAAATGCTGGCGAGGATGCAGAGAAAGGGGAACCCTCCTACACTGCTGGTGGGAATGTAAGCTAGTTCAACCATGGTGGAAAGCAATATGGAGGTTCCTCAAAACACTAAAAATAGAAATACCATTTGACCCAGAAATCCCACTCCTTGGAATTTACCCAAAGAATACAACTTCTCAGATTCAAAAAGACATATGTACCCCTATGTTTATCGCAGCACTTTACAATAGCCAAGATATGGAAGCAACCTAAGTATCCATCAGTAGATGAATGGATAAAGAAGATGTGATACATATACACAATGGAATACTATTCAGCCATAAGAAAGAAACAAATCTTACCATTGGAACAACATGGGTGGAGCTGGAGTATATTATGCCCAGTGAAATAAGCCAGGCGGAAAAAGACAAGTGCCAAATGATTTCCCTCATTTGTGGAGTATAACAATGAAGCAAAACTGAAGGAACAAAATGGCAGCAGACTCACAGACTCCAAGAAGGAACCAGTGGTTACCAAAGGGGAGGGGTGTGGGAGGGCGGGTGGGGAGGGAGGGAGAAGGGGACTGAGGGGTATTATGTTTAGTACACATGGTGTGGGGGATCACGGGGAGACAGTGTAGCACAGAGAAGGCACACAGTGAATCTGTGGCATCTTGCTGCACTGATGGACAGTGACTGCATTGGGGTACGGGTGGGGACTTGATAATATGGGTAAATGTAGTAAACACATTGTTTTTTCATGTGAAACCTTCATAAGAGTGTATATCAATTGTACCTTAAAAAAAAAAAGTAAAAAAAAGGAAAGCAGTTGGTGAGGGTGTTGGCATGAAGGTATTTTTTTCCTACTTTTTAAAATTCAAAGTATTGCTGTAATGCATTTTATGTATTATGGATAAGAAATTGAATCGGAAACCAATCTTCTTACGTTAAAAGTCGCTGCTGTATTTCTTCCCAGGAATCTCTGCGGTTTTCATCAACATACATTCGAAATAGGATCCTCAGACAACAAGCCAGGCTGCTGGTTTCTTGTTTTAGAAGATTGGGTTTAGACTTACCCTTAAAACCTAGAGATTAAATAGTCACATAAATAGCGCACACTCCTAGGATAAAAGTGCCAAGAAATCATGTGGGAACCTAATCTCGTCACTTTAGGGGATACTGAAACAACTCACATTCCTTTTTTAATTGAAGCATAACTGACCTTTAACATAGTAGTTTCATGTGTACAATATATTGATTTGTTATTTGTATACATTGTGAAATAATGACCACAATGAGTCTAGTTACCATCTGTCACCATACAAAGTTACAGATTTGTTTTCTTATGATGAAAACATTTAAGATTTACTCTCTTAGCAATTTTAAAATATAGACTATAATATTATTGACTATAGTCACCACTCTGTACATTATATCCCTATGACTTATTTTTGAACTGTCAGCTTGTACCTTATGACACCCTCCTCCCTGGTAGCCGTCATTCCATTCTCTGTATCTATGAGTTTGGTTTTCTTGTTTCTTGATTTGTTTTGTTTTTTAGATTTCACATATAGGTGAAATCATCTGGTATCTCTTATTTCACTCTTAAATCATATGTCTCTCTTATTTCACTAGCATAAATCTCACATTCTTATTAATACAAGTCAGTTATCAAAGGCAGTCATGACATCTTATCCTCCGTGTATGACACACTTCATTCCTCAATGCCCTGAACTGTTCTCCATTTAGTCTCTGCTCAGTGACTGCTCACTAGACTGCTCATTATTTCATCTTTTCAAGTTTTGAGAACTCAAACATAATTCTAAGTTGCAAGGTTTTTTTTTTCACGAAGTACACATAAGAACACATTTTCTTAAAGCAGTACAGTCAGAGAGATGTAAAAACTACTCTCGTAAGTAAAACCTTAATGTAGGTAAAGATAGAATATATCTAGAGATTTTAAAGCTATAGAGAAAAATAACATTTTTAAATTGTGGATTAAAATAGGCACTTGGGGACAAAAATGAATAGTTACCCAATAAGGGTAACAGTGCAGAAATGATATAAAACATCACTTTTGTGCAAAGTTCACAAACTTAGACTTCCACCATCACCCCTGCATGCATCTATCTGTCTTTCAATCAGTCACCTCCAGGATTTATGTATTTATTCTTCGAGGTGGGGAAGAGAGAGGACCCCTAAAAGCCTCATAAGATGTACAATGCTTTCTGTTTCCCTATTATACTTTTTATATAATCATGTTTAACTACACAATTTTAAACTAATGTAAAACTTCTTGACTTGCTAGATCCGTTCTAGTCTAACTACCAATTTGTTTTTCCACCAAATGCTTACTGAGAATCTCCTGTGTGCCAGGCAATATTGTTGGTACTGGGATGAAATGTATCCAGCATTTCTCTTCTTTCTCCCTCAAGCATGAACATATCTGGTAAATTATTCCAGCTATGTGTACAGTATCAGGCACTTCCCAAAGACTTTAATGTTTTAGGAGAGTAACCAGTATAGAGAGTGGTCCTATCTGCTGTGTGGACCTACCTGCTCGCCACAGTACAGTCCGTTGCTCGTAATTGGAGTTGAAGGCCTTTGAGAATGAATGGGACTCTTGCAAACAGTCCAATAGCTTGAAGAGGTGCTGGGAAGACATGCACTTATACATACCCTGATCCTCTGTCTCTACGTGGATATCTGCATCCAGCGTGTCTTGCTAGAGAGGGGAGGACAAGAGAGCTAAGTAGAGAAGATGGAGTGGTTTTGGATACTGTGATAGCAGATGAAGGCAGTCATAACTCTCCAAAAGTCCTCCTCTGTGTGAGATATACCTCACTCTTCAACACCTTGACCTGTTATCCTCAGAGACTCTGTTACTAACTAGAGAAAGAATACACTGGGCTCTGGCATGATGCGGGGGCTCTGCAGGCCAAAATTTCAGTGTTGTCAGTATTGTCTTTATTATCTCTCCAATTATCTCACTATAGGATTGCCCTGTCATTTTATAAAGAAACTGGAAAATGAGAATATCAAACTGCATTATATGTGATAGAGTGTATGAATCTCAAAACTTACTCATTGAAAGATAGAAACTGTTAAGCAGAGCCCAAGTGGCATCTTTAGCTTCATCAGGTGATTAATGAACTGTAGGTTTGACAACTGTTTTCACATGTGAAGGGAAAAAACTGTAAAAAAGGTATGGAATGCTAGAAACTTCTATTGAATGTGTTGCCTAAATGTGAGAATGTGAGGAATCACTAGGGATCACATATTTGTTGAGACCTCTAGGAATGGATCTCATTCTCTTCATAAACAAGCCAGAAGTTACAAAAAGGCAGAGTTTGAAATACTCCCCAAGTTGATGAATAGATTCAGTGCGATGCTTATCAAAATCCCAGATTACTTCCCTGCAGAAATTGACAAGTTGATCCTAAAATTCAAGTGGAAATACAAGTGACACAGAATAGCCAAAATAATCTTGAAAAATGCAGCACAAAGTTGGAAGACTCATACTTCCAATTTCAGAACTAACTAAAAAACTACCATAATTAAGACAGGGTGGTACTGGCATAAAGACAGACTTTGGAACACAACTTCAAGTTCAGAAATAAATTCTTATGTTTATGGTCAAGTGATTTCCAACATGGGTGCCAGAACAATTCACTGGGGAAAAATAATCTTTGCAACAAATGGTGCTGGGACAGTTGAATATCTAGGTACAAAAGAACAAATGTAGATCTTCTATTTCCCATCATAAACAAAAATAAACTAAAAAATGAATCAAAAACCTAAATGTAAGGGCAAAAATTATAGGACTCCTAAAAGAAAATGTAGGCCTATATCTTTGTGACTTTGAATTAGGCAATACTTTCTTAGACATAACCAAAAGTACAAGTAAAAGAAGAAACAATAACTTGGAATTCATCAAAATTAAAAATCCTGTACTTCACAGGGTACCATCAAGAAACTGAAAAGACAATGCACAGAATGGGAGACAATAGTTGCAAATCATTTATCTGATAGGGGACTAGTGTCCAGAATATACAAAAACTCTTTACAACTCAACAATAAAAAGATAAATGACCCAATATTAAAATGGGCCAAGTATTTGCATGGACATTTCTCCAAAGGTAAACAAAGTGGCCACCACGAACAGAAGACACTCAGCATCATTCATCATTAGGGAGATGGAAATCCAATCTACAATGAGACACCACTTCATACCCACTGGAATGGCTATAACAATTAAGAAAAAAGGCTATAACAACCATTGGTGAGGATGTGGAGAAATTGGAATCTTCATCCACTTCTGATAGGAATGTAGAATAGTTATGCTGCTTTGGAAAATAGTCTGGCAATTCTTCAAAAAGGTAAACAGAGTTACCATATGACCCAGCAATGCCACTCCTAGTTATATATGCAAGAGAATTAAAAACATATGTCTACATAAAAACTTGCTACATACATTCACAGCAGCATTATTCATAATAGTCAGACAATGGAAACAACTTAAATGTCTATCAACTGATGAATGGATAAACAAAATGTGGTATAGTCATACAATGGAGTATTATTCAGTCATATATAATATAAAAATAATGAAGTACTGATACATGCTACAACATGGATGAACTGGAAAACATTATGCTAAATGAAAGAAGCTAGGCACAAAAGCTCACATACAGTATGACTTTATAACTGTGAAATATCGGGATTAGGCAAATTGTAGAGCCACAAAGTAGATGAGTGATTGCCAAGGGCTGAGGCAAGGAGGGAATGGGGAGTGACTGCTAATGGTTACGACATTCCCTTTTGCAGTGATAAAAATATTCTGGAATTAGCGGAGATATTTGCACAACATTGTGAATATAAAAAACCACTGAATTGTACACTCAAGAAATAAAAAAACAAAAGGATAGTCTTTGGGCTGGATCAGGCCCACAGATGTATTATGCTCATTAGTAATTATATTATTTAATTAACAGGAGAGTTCCTGTATGAAATATTTTTGATTCTGCCTACTTTTGAAAAACTGGCTGACTTGGGCTACCTGACAGCAATGTGTTCCCAGAGCTGGGAGGTGGCTGTGGCTCTGGCAGAGTGGGAGCCCTCTGATTTCCCACCCAAACTGCTGCATTCCCAGCAGGATCTGTCAGTCCCTGAAGCACTTAAGTTTACAACCCATGGTATAAAGTTACTGTCCGGCTCTGGACACTCAATTCTCTGTTTCTAAGAACACCAGTTATAAAAGGTTGCATATGCAAAAGAAAAAATGAACATTCTGAAGGAAAAACTGGTATCTTTATCCACATATTTTCCCTCTCAGTTTTATTCGGTTAAACTGTATAACAATTATGAGGAATAGTCACCGTGATTAATTACACTCTTTCTTTGAAGCACCCAGGTGGGGGGGTGGCATTCTGAGCAGCACTGTATGGTAAACTGGCCCTTAATTTTTAGTGTTTGCTGATTTCTATGGTGTAAATGCTCCCACTGTGGCTAACTTCAGGCCACCCACATGGGTCGTGGGGCTAGGAAGAGATGAGCATGATGGGTTCTCGTGAGCTGGTATGAGCTGGCTCTAGCGTACCATTGCATCAGAGCAACCTCCCCACAGACAAGGATGCCCTTCTGGGGCCTGCTCTTATTACCTGGGCAGCAACCATGTGCTCTGCATCTTCCTTTTTGCTTGTTGCAGGATAGAACACGATGTTGTCAATGGTCTGTATCAATTCCAACTGGACCACACACTTGATGAGGAGGCTGGCAAACAGTTTCTGATCTATATTAGATGATAAAGATTAACCCTAATAATGATTCAGCCAGTACTGAGTAAATATTCACTGAGCTCCTACTATGTGCCAGGCATGATTCTTGACACTATGGCATATGAATAAGCTGGACAAAAATTCCTGCTCCCATGGCACAGATGATAAACAAGATACTGAGTGTAAGATACAGTGTGTCAAATGATGACATAAGGTTGGAATGGGGAATTCCTACCTTATGTCATCATTTGACACGCTGCAAGGCTACAGGTTTAAATAAGCTGATCAAGAAAGGTTTCTCTGAAAATGTCATATTTGAGCAAAGATTTGAAGAAGGTGAGACACTCGGCTACACAATTTCCGTGTCCAGCAAGTTTCTCAGTGCCCAAAGTGCCACTCACTGTACAGACCAAGTCTGAACTGTGCCCTAAGTCCAGGAGGCCATGAGCTCCTACGGTGGGCCCTCTCCAGAGTGCATCTCAGTCTTGAGGGTGGGGTGGGGTTCATTTTCATTCTTAGTTCTTGGATCACTTTTTGTCTGCCCTGGAGGTGGTAGCTCCTTTCCCTATTTTCTACTCTCTATCCCTCAAGTCTTCTTTACTTCTTCTAGTGGTCAGACATCTTTGACTAGTTAACAATTGTTTACCTAGAATTTTCCCTGTTCAGATTATTGGTGTAGTTTCTGCCTACTGACTAGACTGACTAATCTTCCAGTCTTCTCATCCTTGGGCTCAGGGGTGGCCCATGCCAGGCATCTCAGAGGTGTTGGTTCATTTGACTATAGTAAAAGTAGAGACTCCTTTTCAACTTATTGTAGAATCAGAATGTTGAAAATATTCAATAAAGCACTTAGTAAAGGCAAACAGGAAGGCTGGGTCACCAGGTTTTTGAAAGTGGCTATGAAATATATATGAATAACAATTCTCCATGCAAAATTAGTTTTAACTAAGAGAGGATATAGTGGAGTTGCAGCTAGTGTATGTTAAACTTACTCCAGTTCAAAATTATACCGCGTTGGACCAACAATAAAAAGAAGGAAAGAAAACAACACAAGTGGTGTAAGAGACTCTGCCTGCTGATTCACTCACTGAGCTACGCCCAGAGGGGGGGCTGAGGGGGGAGTCCGGGAGGAGAAGCACAGCATCGTTCCTTGGAGGAATGGCAGGGATCTCTCAGGGCGGAAACACCTCACTACAGTGAGAATGATTCTGAGTAAAGAAATGTACACTTGGCCCACATACAAGCCAACTCTGCTACTTGAGGCTGATGAGGAAACATAGCTCTTTCTCTCACTGGAAACTGGAGAGAACCTGGCTGTGCTGCAGACACTAATGAACAGCATGTCAGTCTCCAGCACAGACCCTTTCTGATGGATTTCAGGGGTGATTATTTTTTATGCCTTCAAAAGAAAATGGTGCCCATGCTCATGAGTAGGAAGAATTAATATTGTCAAAATGGCCATCCTGCCTAAAGCAATCTACAGATTCAATGCAATCCCTGTCAAAATACCGACACCATTCTTCAATGAACTACAACAAATAGTTCTAAAATTCATATGGAAGCATAAAAGACCCTGAATAGTCAAAGACATCCTTAGAAGGAAGAATAAAGTGGGGGGGAATTATGCTCCCCAACTTCAAGCTCTTCTACAAAGCCACAGTAATCAAGACAATTTGGTACTGGCACAAGAACAGACCCATAGATTAATGGAACAGAATAGAGTCCAGATATAAACCCATACATATATGGCCAATTAATATATGATAACATAGCCATGGACATACAATGGAAAAATGATAGCCTTTTCAACAACTGGTTGGTAAAACTGGACGGCTACATGTAAGAGAATGAAACTGGATCACTGTCTACCTCCATACACAAAAGTTAACTTGAAATGGATCAAAGACCTGAATGTAAGTCATGAAACCATAAAACTCCTAGAAGAAAACAGACAAAACTCTCTTGAATATAAACATGAGCAACTTTTTCATGAACATATCTCCTTGGTCAAGGGAAAAAAAGCAAAAATGAACAAATGGGACTACGTCAAACTAAAAAGCTTCTGTACAGCAAAGGACACCATCAATAGAACAAAAAGGCATTCTATAGTATGGGAGAATATATTCATAAATGACAGATCCGATAAGGGGTTAACATCTAAAATATATAAAGAGCTTATATGCCTCAACACTCAAAAAGCAAATAACCAAATTAAAAAATGGACAGAGGATCTGAACAGACACTTCTCCACAGAAGAAAGTTAGATGGCCAACAGGCATATGAAAAGATACTCCACATCACTAATTATCAGGGAAATGCAAATTAAAACCACAATGAGATATCACCTCACATGTTAGGATGGCCAACATCCAAGACAAAAGCAGCAACAAACAGTGGCGAGGATGTGGAGACAGGTGAACCCTCCTACACTATTGGTGGGAATGTAATTAGTTCAACCATTGTGGAAAGCAGTATGGAGGTTCCTCAAAACACTAAAAATAGAAATACCATTTGACCCAGGAATTCCACTTCTAGGAATTTACCCAAAGAAAGCAAGATCCCAGATTCAAAAAGACATATGCACCCCTGTTTATCACAGCACTATTTACAATAGCCAACACATGAAAGTAATCTAAGTGTCCATCAGTAAACGAATGGATCAAAAAGATTATTCAGCCATAAGAAGAAAACAAATCCTACCATTGCAACAACATGGATGGAGCTAGAGGGTATTATGTTCAGTGAAATAAGCCAGGTGGAGAAAGACAAGTGTTAAATGAGTTCCCTCATTTGTGGAGACGGAAAAGCAAAACTGAAGGAACAAAACACAGCAGACTCACAGAACCCAAGGATGACTAGCGTTACCAAAGGGAAAGAAGTTGGTTAGGGTGGGTGGGGAGGGATAAGGGGATTAAGGGGTATTATGGTTAGCACACATAATATAGGGGGGTGCATGGGGAAGGCAGTGTAACACAGAGAAGACAAGTAGTGACTCTATAGCATCTTACTATGCTGATGGACAGTGACTGCAGTGGGGTGTGTGGTGGGGACTTGATAACAGGGGAATGTAGTAACCACAATGCTGCTCATGTGAAACCTTCGTAAGATTGTATATCAATGATACCTTAATAAAAAATAAAAAATAAAGAAAATGGTGACTGTGCACATATAGCTTTGCCTAATTCATTGCTTCAAAAGTTCACATCAGTGTTAACACCTACAGCCTGGCATGTTGAGAAAAGGGTGGGACTGCCATGAAGGAAAACAATGGGTGCACAACTTTAAAAAGGCCAGACCACCACCAGAGAAGTTCCTATTTCTCAGTCAGCCAAAAGTTTATCTGAATCAGCAGCATCAAGAGACAAACTAGTAGAAGTACATACTGACAAGTTACATCGCCTGGCAAGGCCCCAGTTCACTGCAATGTAACAGTCCTCAAAGGGCTAGTGTAAGGATTACACGAAATCATACACATGAAACCCACAGCACAGTGCCTGGCTCATGACAAATGTTAAACCTGTTTTTTTAAATGACAGACAGTGAAGCTCACCATCAGCAGCATGAAGAGACAAACTAGTAGAAGTAATTTGGAATCACATCCAGAAAAGGGACCTCTAAAACAGAAAGGGCTCCTCTAAACCAATCAAAAAGTCCAGCAATCAATACAAAATGAGCAAAGATTATGAACAAACAGCTCATAAAAAGGAAAATAGACATGGGTTTTAAACACATGAAAAACTGCTCAGTTTCACTCATAATTAGAAAACTGTCAATTAAAATACTCCAAAGATGCCAAGTATCACCTAAGTGTTCCCAAAGACTATGGAAACAGGTACTACCCTAATGGGTAGCATTCTGGAACTGTCAAAATGGCAAACGCACTTATCTATTAACCTAGCAATCCTATTTCTAGGAATTAATTGTGCAGATAAACTCACAAAGACACACATAGTAGGTGATTAAATGCAGCTCTGTTTATAACAAAAAAAGATTGGGAATAATGTAAGTGGCTATTAGTAGGAACCCAATTTAACAAACATCTACATCCTGGGATAATATCTAACAGTATAAAAGATTGTGAAAGCTCTTTAGGTACTGATTTTGAATGATATCTAAGATATACTAAGTGAAAAAAGAATAATGCACAGTATCCTATGTTTGTATGAGAAGGAGGAGAATTCATATATAAATGTGTGTATATATGCATATATGTATGTATGGATGGATATGCATTCCTCGCATATGGATAAAACATCTCTGGGAAAGACACATAAGAAACTGGTGACATTGGCTGCCACAAGAAGGGACTGGAAGATTGAGGCACAGGTGCAGCAGAACAGATTATTACATTTACTCTTTTTGTATCTTCTGAATATTTGAATAACTTAATGTTACCTATTTGAAATAAAAATTATTTTTAAAAAGCAGCCTTACTTGCATATGGTCTACCTTTCCAGCTGTCATCAGTCGGGTTAGAGAGTTGGCTCTGGCCTCTCTCAGAGGCATTTTTATCTATGCTGCTTAAAGACTGGCGATCCAGGTCCACATCCTAAAAGGAAACCAGAGAGAAGCTAATGTTCAGCTTTCTCCATTCTCAATCAGTACCTGGGCAGAGATGTGCCTGTTACCACACTGTTGGCCCACCTTGAATTTACGTGCCTTGCTTAGGTTGAAGTACACTTACACTGCATGTTTAATGTAGCACCTCTCAAAGGCTGAATAGCAGAGATTACAAATTTCAATCATTTCTCCCTCCCATTAAAATGTCACGTTTTTTTATACCAACTTAGAGGGTATTTCTCTATACATACTATGACTGAAAAATGGGCATGACTATTAATGAGATCAAGTTAAAAAACAAACTAATAAAATAACTAGCCTTTAAATCGATAGCAGCAGACAGTTAACAAGCAGAAAATGTTTAAATAATAAACCTCATTTTTATATTCCAAATGCCTTTTAAAATCTATGGCCTTATAGTTATGTGGGTGGGAATAGAAGTTAATAATACAAA